CCCCAAAACCCCAAAACCCCAAAACCCCATGATTGCTTCTTATGAAATTAATTGAGAAATAATTAATGTGATTAAATTCAGTTCATCAATTTTTGCTTGTGCTTTACTTTGTGCATCTATTCTGATATTTCCATTAAGGTTGTTTCTTAGCACAAACTAGATAACTCAGAGTAGGCATATGAACTATCTAGAACACTACTATTTAGACATTAGTTCTCTCCTTGATTTGATATGTCGCTTATTCTCCTTTCTAAGGTTATCTCATTTCTACTCTTTGTGTAGAAATCTTAAGTGTTTTACTATGATTTGAAAGATAGGAATTGCTAATAGTTCTATGAGTTTCTTTGACTCATGTCTTATGATTATGTTGCTTAAGTTTGTGGCTTAATTATATTATTATCCCATGTGGTTAATAATGAAATCTTTGTGTTAAATTGTTCTTAATCACTGCTAGTTAAAACTCTATCTGAACTTATATCATACAAGACTGGCTATTTCAAAGGATGGCAGTTAGGGATAAGTTTCTCATCCATACTTTCATCAATGTCTACAGTTTATCTTTCTACCATTTGCAGGTATGATTTCAATGCTTCTCTATTTCTCTAAATCAAGTATTGTTCTTTTTCTTCTACTGTCATCTTTGAAGAAGGAGAATTATCTTGAAAAGGCATATATTCAAATATTGTTTGGAAATTCCTACTTTATAATTAATTTTAGAAATCAATCGGTGTTTCCTCATTTAATGAGCTCAGACTTAGGAGTGTATTTATTGACATATTCTAGTTTAAATTTTTATGTATCCTAAACTAAGGACTTTGTCTTATTTCCTTTTTCAAAGTTGCCTAGGGAGAACCTTCTTCCTCGACACTGAACCTGACTTATTCAGTACTCGCAAATGATGCTAAAGATTAAGATTATTTTTGCATTTATTAGGCTAAACTTGGTTGAAATTAGTTTTCAAGCTAATTAATTTTGAGTTCTAACTCTTAAATCTTGTTATTGAATGCAAGAATGAGTTCTTTCACAAGATTATTGATTGTCTTTACGAATAAATCCTCTTTATAGTTATCTATGTACTTAAATTTCTTGTTTCTCTTTATATCTTGATTAATTACTGCCTAAGCCTTTTTGAATATATTGTATTCTTGATGCTCTTAGACATTGTTATCAGTATTATTTATTTAGTTTAGATCAATCAAAAAATAGTTACTGCCTAACTATTGCTAAATTAGTTACTTGATTTAGTTCTTGTCAGTTGTTTGTAAATTAACACTATCCTCTCTTATATCAACCCCTTAGTTGTTATTAATTAATAAAGAGGGATGTCTTAGATGCCCAAGTATGGGTTAACTTTATGATTGAGTAAACATTTTTAGGGAAGCTTGATCTTAAGAAAATAAAGACTTCATACTTTCTTGCTTTTTAATAGCTTAGCGATTTAAATACTTTCAGGGCACTCCTTTCAAGTAGTCTTTAGAAGATTGAGTATTACTGAGAATATCTTGCAGTAATTTGTTCTAGGAGTAACTCATGTTTACTTTTATTGCATTGACTCTATTTAATTCTTAGAGTGGAAGGTACTAATGAATATTAGGAGTGGATTATGAAATAATATTCAGTTATGAGTGACTATGCATCATCATTTTTATTTTAAATTTTGTAAACACTCATGAATATTAAGTTTCGATGTTTATTTCTGGGGTTTTGGGGTTTTGGGGTTTTGGGGTTTTGGGG